ATTAAAAATAAAGAAATTTTAAAAAATTGATTATCATATAGAATTAACGAAAAGCTTTAGAAGGGTTCTTTATTTTTGTTGCTTTTAAATCTTTTTAATTTCTTTCTTCAATGATTTACCAAAAAATGAGATGGAAAACAAATGAGCAGTTACTAAAAAACTGCATATAACCAAGATTGTACCTTGTAGACTCTGCAGCTTTGTCTCAAGGAGTCTTATGCTATAACCTTATAGATGATAGTAAAATAAAGTAGGGTTCAAGGGCCAAAAGCTTTGTTTCCTAATACAAAGTAATACTTTATAAGGATCAAAAAATAATTTTTCCCTTATTTCTTATTCCTTCCACATTCCTTTCTCTTGTATTATTAAAGGATTAGAAAGACTTAGTCTTCCTAGGAGTTCATTCTAGATTGGCTTAGTTTATAAGTGGTTGGCCTTTATTTTTCTAGTCAAAGTTTTTGACCTCTCAAATAATATAAACTCATTTGTTTTAAATAGTAGAAATTTAAACAAAGCAGGGATATAAACTGTAATCTCAAATTCAGTCGTGAAATATCTTCTGACTCACAGAAATGTGGCTTCCACTCAGACCTCACGGTCGACTCCTTAACTGATTTTAACCAGGTACCTGATTTCCCTCTCAGGAGCTCTGGCTATTGTTAATGCAGTGCCCTGCTTTGCTTTGGATGGACAGTGGATTTTAAACTCTTTTCTGGATGCCACCCTTACCTCAGTGATTGGAGACAACGATGTCAAAGATCTGATAGGATTTTTCATCTTGCTTGGTGGCAGTGTACTTTTGGGTGCCAATGTGACCCTGGGACTCTGGATGGTTACAGCACGGTAATATTTGCACTCATTTTACAGAATCTCTGAATTATAATATACAGCTATATGGTAATATCCATTGCCATTGAAATCCTTACTTGGTATGAAATATAAAGTGTTTCCTTAAAATTACATCTTAGCCAACAACTTTGAGCTCCTCCTATATCCAGTGTACCCAAACTCTGTGGTGGGGGATGAACAGAAGAAATAAAAGGCATAGTCTCTAACTACACTCTAGTTTTAAAGACTGAACATACACTGATGCTTGTGGAACAATTTCTAAACAAGTGCAAATTCATGTAATACCATTTTGTGTGACTACATATCATATTGAGAGAGTATAAAGGAGAACAGAATTGGATGAAATTAATTGGGAAAAACTTTTTGCAAAAGCATCATTAGTCAAGATTTGAAGGAGACCAGACTTTGGCCAAGTGGAAGGGTCGCTGTTTTCTTGGCCTGTATCTCTTGTCCTTTGTCTTGTTTGAAAAGTATTTTAAAAGTTAATGTATATTATTTTTTACTCTGAAAACTGAGGTCTCATTATAAATTAAAGTAATAAAATTTTATAAAAGAATCTGCTGACATGAAAGGGAAAAATCTTTGTCAAATGATGCCAAATAAATGAACAAAGTAGAAAGTAGGGCCTATGATTATCATGAGACATGTTTTGCCCCACAAGAGTTGCCTCTTATAAGGTGTCTCTGCCCCCTCATAAAACAGTACTGGCCTTGACATTCAGAGTGAGCTGCAGGAAGTGTCTCACACCAGCAGCATGTGAGCTGAGGCAGTTAGGGTTGAACCTCAGAACTAAGCCAGGTCTTCTGACAGGCCACAAGACAGATCACTGGATCTTCAGCAGTCCTGGTGACCATTCTCTATAGAGCTTTGAAGCTTGGGAACCCTTCCAGAGCAGACATTTTCTCTTGTGCTGCTGAGGCCATCAGGGGCCTAGCTCCTGGGTTCCTGTCTTCAAGAAGCAATGACCTTAAATCCTGAGCCATACTCTGTCCTTACCAGTGGCTCCCATGTCTGTGTCAGGTGATTAAATACCTAGTCCTTGCTTTCCATCTCTCCCCTAAGCTACCTCTTTGGGTCCATGGAAGACTTGGTAGTACAGTGGGAGTGGCTACACATGAGTACAAAGGTTGATTTGCCAGAGCCTGGGAACTGACTCTTGAGCCCGAAAGAGCCACACCTGTTTCGGGGCCTTTTAGAGTGGAGACGCAGCCCTGGGAAATTTGGGAAGTCAACAAGCCAGTTGGTCTTAGAAACTTGCTGTTTCTTTGATTACAAAAAATACATGCTTCTCTCAGACTCAAGAAGGGATAAAAGGCAATAACTCGTTCACAGCCATGTGTCCAACTTCTTCACTAAGTGGGGTATTCCATGGGGTTACCTTTTTCAGATCATTGAGTTGCTCTTTAAGCACTGAAACTTTTTAATCATCTTTAAGAAACTCTTTTTAGATTGTATTATAAATTTGTCTTCCTTCTTAAAGAGAAATTATATACTGAATATAATTTTAACATTTTATTAATGACTTGAGTCATCAGTTAATACCAGTAATAAAACCCTACAAATTATTAGTTTATCCCAGAAAATACAGCATTTGTTCTGTTCTTAGGTAGACAGTCATTCAGGATCAAAGTATATTAGCATAGTAATGCTCAGACCTGTTCAGTAATAGAGTTTGGGAAATGCCATTAAATAATTACATAATTGATTTAATTATATGAACTAAGCAATTTGCTAATGAAAATATTGTATATGTAAAGTCAGTTGTTTAAAAACTGAGAAAAAAATTTTAATAGAGGAAATCCTATCCATTAATTTCTTTTTCTGGGTAAAAAAAAAAAAAAAAACCCAAATCTCATTTTATTTTAGCTGTTAAACACTTGGTCTGTTGATCCATAGGTTCAGGGTTTGGGAATCACTCTATTAGGAAATTGAGCAGATCAGCACCGTTTGTATAGAAATGGCCTCACTGTGTAAGAAAGGAAATATGTGTTATCTTCTTTAGCTTGGTTGTGGGCACTTCTAGAGCAAGGACCATGTCATATTCATCTTTGCATCCCTGGCACAGTGCATGAGACATCACAAGTACTTAATAAATGTGGTTGAATGGATAATGGTTAGTATTATTTATGGACTAGAAAAGCATGTTTCTATTTAAGTAAGCTGTAAAAAGTATTACTGAATATTTACTGTAAATATATGTTAACATAAAAAAAATAACTTGGAAGGTCCTCGTGTCCCTGGTGTATTATCATCTTTATGGAAAGAATCCATTTTGTTTTCTGTAGAGCGATTAGAAAAATGAGTTATTTTGAAGATTTGAAGAAAGTATTCTTTCTGTGTTGTCACTTAGTTCAATAGTAAAACTTTATTCTCGGTTTTCCAACTCTGCATTGTTTACATTTTTGAGTTTTTTTTAAAATCACCTACAATCTGTAAAGAATGTATATATTCTTTTCAGCATCTCAGTTTGAAAAGACATGCAGTTAAACTTGACCTTTTGATAATCACTCTTATAGGTCATTGTCTGTTCTAACAGCAAGTTGTAAACATGTGTTTCATAGATACTGTGGCTCTCAGTCATCATTTTGTCCTATGGTATTTATTGAGTGTTCACATACTAATTATGCACAGGTATTTTTTTCTATAAATCCTTTGACTGTGCTGTAATTCATTCTTAAGCTTTACCTTGAAGATATCATAATTGCCAGCATTTGATGTTTAGCAATAAAAGAATAAATGTATACCAGCATTTTATGTTTATCATCATGTATGTGTTGTCTTTTTTAAAAAATTTGTACTCTTTTCTATCAGAATTGTTCCCATTACATAGAGTAAAATCTTAGTTGTTTTTAAATTCTTGATTCTAAAAGCAGCCTTCAGTTTTCATTCATATAATTCGTATATGAAAGTTGTTGCAGGCCTTGAACAGAAGTCTTTTAAATTAGGTACCTGTGCTCTCACTTATGGATGAAGAAAGAGGACTATCATGTTTCCTTTCATTAGTGTCTGACAGAAGTCTTCTGTAAGTCAGTCCATGCTTTTAGGAATTCTTGAAAGAGAATGTTTTAACTATAACATTTGGTTCTTCTTGACCTTTGGCCCTTAGCACTTCCTCCCTTGTGCCCAGCCACAACTCCCCTCCCATCTCCCATACCCTTTCTCTCTCTCTCTCTCTATCTCTCTCTCTCTCTCTCTCTCTCTATGGGCCAGATAAAATAGGCTGGGAATTTAGCCCAATTTTTGATTGGTTAGCCTCATTCTACTCCTTCTTGCCCCTGATCCCATTATGCTACAGTTATGAGCCACAAGACTAGATGACTGATTATCTAAACCACCTTTTTAAAACAGCTTTATTAAGATATTAAATACCATAAAGTTCACCCTTTGTGTGTAAACTTTAAAGTGTGCAATTTGGTGTAAACTATTTTTCTTTTAATGTCTGATCAAACAACTGTATGCATATACTTCAGTATAATCTAAACTTTTAAGTAAATGCACATATGATAAAAGCCTGGGAGGGAAAAAAATGTGTTTAAGTTATTTCAAAACTATTTTAACCAGCAATGTAATAGAGTTGAATAACAGATTTGTTTTTAAGGCAAAACATGTGGACATACTTTCTTTGAGACAAGCCTTTTTAATCGGTGCATTTGTAAGCTACTCTTGCTGTTTAGGCCATACTAATTTGAATAATCCATTGTATATTTTATCAGACCATAGCATATGAATTCAGTGAAAGGAAAGCCTCTATTTCAGAACTCAATGCTACAATAGATTATACTTGGGGTGGAGGTAGAAAAAAATGGCTAGAGGAAGTTGTAATTCTAATTACCAAGCAGGTTATATTGTATAATTTAATTTTCCATTAAAGAGAGAAAAGAACACCTTTATTTCTTAGTTTTATTTAGCCAAGGATTGATGGATAGTCAGTAATTGTCCCTTCTTATTAACTGAATGCTTCTCAAACTCTTCTACTGACGTGCTCCTGACACTGTAGAGGAGCGAAAACCCAGAAGGATCTAAGAGTAGAACCCTATAATTGGCTCTCCATGGTATAAAATTGAAGTCTCACTTTATCTTAAATTCATGTGGAGTTTGCATTCCATTAATCTAATCAGGCAGCATAAAGCGAGTTCTCTTAAACACATGAAACTCTAAACTGTAAAAGAATTAGACTCTAAGAATATAAAGACTTCCTCATTTCTAAAACACATTGGTAGAAAGTAGTTTATAACAGCTGCTCTGTATACTATTGACAGTCCATGGGTGGTGTTTTTGTCCATTCATAGTGAAATGAGAAAAAGATCATGTATATTGTGTTTAATTACAAAGTAAAGATAATGTATGTGTGATGTTATAAGGCTGCCTGCTGCCCTTTATCAAAGAGCTCCCCTTTATTTGGAGTGTGGAAACACATACTTAATTTCTCTTAGCACTGCCAGCTTGCCCTCCAGAATGGCTTTTTATAACTGACACTCTTATCAGCAAGGCATGAGGGTTCCATGTTTCCCCACACCCTTACCACCACCTGAATTATCTGAGTTCCATGTTCTGACAAATCTGTTGGGTTTTAAATGACATTTCATTTTAATTTGCTTTCTCAGATTATTAATAAAGTTGCACATCCATATACTCATTTAGCCCTTTGGATTTTTCATTCTGCCAATTGCTTATTGATAGCCTTTGCCCAGTTTTCTGTTGTGTGTCCTAACTTTTTTTTATTGATCCATAGGAATATATAAGGAATTTCTTATATATTCTAGATTAGAGGTCGACAGATTATTGCCTGCAGGCCAAATCTTACTCACTACCGATTTTTGTAAATAGTGTTATTGTGTTTTGTTGGAATACATTCATTCATTTATGTATTGTCTATGGCTGCTTTCGTGCTACCATGGCTAAGTTGAGCAGTTGTGACAGATACCATGTAGCCACAAGCCTAAAATATTTCATTTTACGAATATACAGAACAGCCCATTTTCCAGATATCTCTCTGTTTACAGAACAACCCAGGTTCTAGCTATCAATCTCTTGTCCATTTCAGATGTTGCAAATAATTTTTCCATCTGTTACCCATAAATTTTATTTATGAGGTCCTTTGTTGAACAAGGATGTTCAGTTTAGTTTAGTTAGCAAGGATCCATTAATTTCTTCATTTAGTGTTTGTGTTTTGTGAGTCTTATTGAAAAAGTCCTGTCCTATCCCACGGTCACAATAGTATTCTCTTATATTTTCTTCTGTTTGCTTTAGAGTTGTACTTTCATGATGAGATCTTTAATTTCCGGAATATACGATATGAGGTAGGGAATCCAGGTCTATTTTTCTATATGAACTGAACTATCCTTAAAATAGACATAGCCAGCACATGCCTGTAATCCCAGCTACTCTGGAGGCTGAGGTGGGAGGATCACTTGAGCCCAGGAGTTCTAATCCATCCTGGCCAACATAGCGAGACCGTATCTTCTAGAAAAAATAATAAATAAACATAATAATATTTTCCTTTATAAGACTGTTAAATAAAACAGCTTACATAAAGTTCTTAATATGGTGCTTGGCATACTCAAGTTAGTATTATGAACTTAAATCACTTATTTTTAGAATGCAGAATTATGACATAATTTGCCCTGATATCTCAGTCCCTACTGGTATCAGATCTTGCCTCCTTTTGATATGCCTTCTAGGCTTCCAGTGCCTTTAGGGCTGATTCTGGTTGCCCAAAGCATCTCCGGGGCCTTGGCACTTTTAAACATCTCCTCCCCCAATCAAAATGAACCAAAAAATGAACCTTAAAATATTTAAGCTATTAGCTAAGGATTTTGCTTACTGAAACTAATCAAAATAACCTGTATTCCTGGATGTGTTCATTGATGGTAACATAAGCCAACATTTAAATCTGTTCTTATGAAAACAGTATCTTAACTCAGAAGGAGGCACTGTGACAGACCAATATAGGAGAGAATTTGGGACAGAACGGCCTTTAAGGCCACCAAATCAGACAATAGAAAGCTATCTCCTCTGTGCATGGTCTGGGACGTTCTGTTTCAAAATAAGCTCTCTTTTACACCTTCATTTTAATTTGCATTTTTTCTTGTTAGAAAAGAGGCTAAACTTTCTTTTTTTAAATGTGTATTCTTTGGTAGATTGTTTATCCACATCCTTTGCCCATATTTCCCTGCAGTGGTTGTCACCTTCTTATTACTATCCATCATTCAGGGCTCACATTTTTACAAAGAGTTTACAAACATATTTGACCATACCTTAGTTTCTTTTACAGGTCCCTGACTTTCATACTTTATTCCTAGCATTCTTTTCTTACCTTTCAATCGCTTTGTTTCCATCTCTTAATGGCTTCTGATTTTTTTTCTAGGCTTTATGTATCACCAGAAATCTACAATGGAAGGTAGCACTTTGCAATTTACAGAACATTCACTTTTCCAGTTTAGGGCACCTCTTTTCTGTCATGGAACTACCTAGGAAAAAGAGGTTGGTAATTAGGAGTTTGCTTGGAGAATATAGAATTGGAACAGAAAAAGATAATTAATGTAATTCTTTTGGCCTTTATAGAAAAATAATTTCTTTCCTACCAGAAAAGAAATACACATGTTCATTATAGAAAACATGTTAAGGAAAGTAAAATTGTGATT